GAAAACTTAAGTTTGACAAGTATGTCCCTAATGCTGCCCAGTGGACGTAGTAAGATTTACATTTTTTTTCTCTGCATGATTGGTTGGCCTTCTGCGCTGCGGCCTACAGGGGGCAGTGCACTCACGTTCACATACACTGTGTTGATAAATTCTCCCAGTCGGAAGCCTGACACACACATTCTCTCACACACACACACACACACAAATATAGTGTCTTTGAAGAAACAAGCAAGAGGAGATCTACCGAAACAAAAACTGGAAAACACTGGAATATCGTTAATACAAATTTTGCACGTCATCTTTAAACTTTTTGCATAAACTAATAGGAAGCAGCATGATCCATTATTGGCTGGTGAAAGCAGGTGTGATATCCAAATATTCCAGATTTTATGGCAGGATTTTAGTCACTTTTTGTTGCTTGAATTTTTTTTTTGTTTTTTAGGTTTTTTTTTTTTTAAGTTTTAAATCAGTTTGATTTATTTCCAAGAAAACTGGTGCAGAGGAGGTAGGAGGGAGAAAGCAGGGTTGCAGTCCGCGGCGTGGCAGCGACACTCCGCCGCCACCCCGCCTGCTGCTGGATGGAAACAGCGTCGTCTGCCATCTGCTCAGGTGCCGACCACGTCCCCCGCCCCCCACCACCACCACCACCCACAAAGAGAGGGGTTTTCCTGGTGGGCTTGTGCGTCTCAACAGCATTAGTAAAGCAGCTGAACATGTGAAGTTTGTGTCGGGATTTTTTTGTACCACGTGTGGTGTATATAAAGCTTATGAGACAACGAGAGGGGGTAAAGTGTAAAACTGTACAAACCAGGGCTGGAAGTGGAGGGAACCATGCTGAAATACTGTCCAACACTGAGAGGAGGGGAGGAAACGCTGCACCAGCAAGTCAAGTGTTTAGTAAATTCTGGGTCACTGGCAGACATAAAAAACTATGCGTTTTTTTTAATTTCATGAGCACCATAAATCGTAAACAATCTAGAGTTAAATATGTGAAGAGTGCCGCAACAGGTAGCTGAACTCTATCCGGACGACTCGCAGGTTTCCTTCTCCTAAAGAAAACCTTCCCTCTTCAGTTTCTCCTCATCGCGGGTATCGACGTGCACGTGTCTGGGAAAAACTTGAGTGAAGTTTGGGGACAGCGCGCTCGCACCCCGGAGAGGACTGACCTCGAATGGACGTTAATTCAGCGTTCCCCGACAGTTCTCTGCCCCACACAAACAGGGGATTTTCTCGTCCTCGATGGGAAACTTGTAGTCGTAAGTGATCTCCTCGTTGACGTTAATGGGCTGCCTGGAGTAGATCACGATCTTCTTTTGAGACTCCACTGTGATGACCTTCGCATAACAGTTAGGCTGAAAGAAAAGACCACAAAAACACAGAAATAATGAGACCGTGTTTGTTTTTGAGCTTGTGTTTTCTGTTCCATACTCCGATGTTGTCTTACATTGCAGCTGTGGTTGATGAAACGGGCGAAGTTGCCGCACTTTGTGGCATCTATGATGGTGTCGTGGTCGACTCGGAACATGTAGCTGCTCCCGATGCCCTCCTCCTCGTAGCGCTTCTCCCGCATGTCCGCGATCACCTGCCAATGGGAGGTTGCCACTTGTTAGGAGGTTTTAAATGAAACAGCTTTATCTGACGTAGAAACACTTTATCAGTCACATCAACAGATCTGGTCCTTCAAAGTAAAATGAGCTCTCATGCTTGCTTGTAACCCTTTCGTCTGTGCTTTTATAGCAGTCCAAGCAGCATGTGTGCAAGTTTGGCTGCTTCTCATTCTCCTTAATGAGGGGAGTGGTTGCATAGAACTGTGTAGAGTAGTTGCCTGCATTGTTTATTGATTATGATGCCTTAGTAAACTATTCAGATTCTGACACTTGACCCCATAAAGTCAGAGAAGTTTGTGACCGTGTTGGATGCTGGAGTAAAACCTGGAGTAAAAGTTGTATTGTTATTATTCATTTTTATTTGTTGTGAGGCTGCAAGTTAAATTAAAAACCTCAAAGATTTAACAGGTCAGAGGTGTTACTGTCCTTTAATCTTCCCATTGTTCTAATGAAACGCCTTTGTGTCACAGAAATGTTCTAATGTAATAACTGTTTACATTCAACCTACGTCAAATAAACCAATCAGCTGCCTCTCACCTGTCTGATGTTCTGCCCCACGTACTCGATCACCATTTCATCTGCTGCGATGGGCTCCATAGCGAACAGACCCCAGTCGTGGATGTGAGACTTGCAGAATCGGATCTTCTTCTTACGGAACTGAAAGAGAAAAGGGAAGCAAAGTGAATTCTAGGTATCGGGAAAGCTGATATGAAAACGTTTCATCACAGAAATGCAGACACAGCGTAGCGGCGAACACAAAGGTACGACCATCTACGGTCAGATCAGTCGATATCTGATGCTGATGAGCTTGTTTACTGTTCTTTTTATAAAACTCAAGGTGAGTCAAACTGCCCACTGGAGCGAAGTTCTGTTGGGTTGTGTTTACCTTCAGCTGGTTGAACTTCAGCAGGTCACTGTCACAGGCGAATGAGGACAGCAGGCGACGCTGCTCCGACCGCCGCTCCGAGCCAGCTCTGGTAGAGGCGTGGACCTGAGCAGGAATACTCATACCCTGCAGAGAGAAGAAGAAAGTTAGATGTGTTCTCCCACACACACATATATTAGCATACATTATGTAAGCAAGTCGAGCATCACAATCTGTTCTCGGCAGTCCAACCTGTGTGTCGACTGGCGGCTCCTCTGACTGCAGCTTTGTGCTCTGAAGGTACTTGATCTTGTCCTTCTTGTCGATCTTGTAGTATCCCTCGCTTCGCGCGCAGCCGGTCATGTGATCCCTCATGCCGTCGTCTCTTCTCTTTTTCTTCACTCCAGGGATATTGGTAGGTGCCGGGTAGTCAAGGAAGAAACTGAAAAACCCTTATACCAAAGCTGGGACATCAAAACACTCAAAAGATTCCCCATTTTCACCACCAGAGGGGGCTGCTATTTGATACACACAGTGCAAAACAACTATTAGAAAAGAAAATAACCAAATGTAACTTATTTTTGTGTTATTTTACTGTTCTGATCTCCTAAAACGATTTGTGGTTTGTGGGAAACTTTTCAAGTTCGGACTGAAAAGTGACATAAACATATAGATGAATGACATTTGGTGTAAAATCAGCTGGAGTGAAGCAGTGAAGGATATGAGGATGGTTGACCCAGAGTGTGTCGTTGAGCCAGTCGTTGCCGTTATCCTGCTGAAGCATCTTGTCGTAAGTGATCTGCAGAAGCCGCATGTCCTCCTCATCTATGCCCTCGTTCCAGATGTCATACAGGATGGTCATCTCCTCAAACTCGGTGCGCGGGTTGAAGTACGGCCGGGGAGGCGAGGTGACGGGCGACAGGCTGCCCAGCAGAAGCTCCTCCCAGCCTCGCCGCTGCCTCCGCACCGGCTTCACGACCACGGGTGCCTCGTCTTCATAGGACAGGAAGCTGTCTTCTGCGGGCAAGACCGTCTGACGATCCACGTCCTTACCTTCCCGGAAGTCGAGGCTTGGATGGTTGGGCGACTTGGCAGACATCCTCTGCATGGACAGATCGCCGAGGTGTGCGTCAAGAGGCAGAGGGGTGGACTCGGATGAGAGCTCCAAAGACTCATCAGCTGCAGAGACAGCTTGGGTCTTTTTGCCTTTGGGTCGTCCAGGTTTCCTCTTTGACGGAGCAGTATCTGATGGCACAGGGACATCTACAGTGAGACCAGCAGGCAGATCTTCAGGGACACTGGCTGAAAGCTCTGCTCCAGCTGATAAAGCCTGGTTAGGAAGGGCGCTGATGGGCGGCTCCTTAAAGACTGGTCTATCGTCTAGGCTCTCAGAGGATATTTTCCTATTAAGAGTCAGCGCTGTGGGGTCAGGGAAGACAGGGGTGAAGGTTAAATCTCTTCCTGGAGTGCGGGGGACTCCAGCACTAAGGACAGGGGACTGCGCAGGGTAGGAAAAGGGGCTACCAGGGATGTGAGGGGAGCTAAGCAACAAGCTGCTGCCCGTCAGCGGGGCATCACTACCCGGTGTAATGGGCACCGTGTCCGTGCTCTGGGACTTGCCCAGACTTCGGGCACGTTCCATCAGGTCCCTGCCTGGCGTGCGGGGGATGTCCTCGTCTGTGGGGAGCCTGGCCCGCTGAGGCAGGTCAGGAAGGGGACCAGGGGGCGGATGGAGGAGGGAACGACCTTCTATTGCCGGGTGAGGAGGGAGAGGAAGGTGCATTAAAGATGTGGAAGCAGCTTTGGGGACGGGCGTATTTGCATCTAAGTGCGATGGAGCTAATCGACCCGGGGTGCAGGGTACCTCCTCAGGCTCTGCTTTACCTTTGGCTTTGGTCTCCTGGTCGCTGTCGAGCAGGGCGCCTGTAGGAGTGGGAGGTCGAAGGTTCGCTACGTGCTCCAGAGGTTCAGACTTCACCACAGGAATGTTGATGCCTACACTGATGTCAGGCTCTTTGACTACAAGACAAGAAAAGATATTCAAGTTAACCTCCGACATCAATACTTCAAAATCGTGTAGAAATTAAACGTTGGACCTGAATATTTAGGAACAGAGACTCACCTGGGATGCCTTTGGGTGATGGTGGCTTCAGGTCCTCCATAACCTCCTCGGGACTGGGAGGTCTGCGTTTGGGCTTGCTGCTTAGCTCCTCCCTGCTCCTCTGGTCCTCCTTATCCTCTGGGACTGGTCTCGTAAGAGGGCTTTGTGCCTTTGTCTCTGCCTCCCGCTCCTCTTCATCAGACGACGAAGTTGTAGAGGATGAAGAGGACGAGGTGGTCTTGACATCTTTGCCTTCGTCGTCCACATCTTGTGCCACCGCCACCTCGGCTTCTTCCTCCTCGTCCTCTTCCTCTTCGGAGCTTAGCTCGTACTCAGAGGAGTCTTCGCTTTCTCCCGAGGAGTTGGAGCTGGCCTTGGAGGAATCTGAACTCTCCGCTTCTGCAAGAAATGAGGCAAATAAATTATACATCACATGAAACAGGCAAAAACCAACCAGCTGTTGCTGTCTGATATTTAAAGTACCATCATCAGACGAATCCGACGAAGCGCTCCCACTGGATGAGTCTTCATCATCACCCTCCTCATCGCCACTCTCCTAAGAGATGATCACAAAAATGCAGCAATGTTCAATGCACACTCCGTGAAAGATAATCCAACAGATACTAAATGAATGGTGATCTTTGAGACGGCTTACTTTGCCCGACAACAGTCTACTGGTAGCCTCCGTTTCGTCAGGCTCCTCCTCCCTGTCAGACAGAGACTCTTCCTCCTTCCCTGAGGTGTCCACTTCTTCTTCTCCCTCACTGTCCAGTTCAAGTGGCCGCGAGTGCCGTCGCTTTGACGACGTACCGTCAGCATCCATTTTGGAATCGTCCGAGGGGAGCTCAGCTGGGTCTCGATCCCGGTCTGACAGAAAGGAAGCACAACATAAATCAGCTGTTGGCAATTTCACAACACCAGGAAGAAAAAGAGAAAGTTGTGAGTGTAAATGTGGAGACTGTTTGGTCTGCTGTATCGATGGTGGAGGGTTACCTTCATCCTCCAGCTCGTCATCCACTGGAGTTGAAGGTCGGGCTCGTTTGTTGTCCCCTGCTGATGCAGCCTCAGGCGGGTCCTTCCTTTTCACCTGAACACAACACGCGACCGTTAAACACCAACCAACAGTGCGACTGGTCGAGGAGAACAGAGACTCCCTCTTTGTCCGTGTTTTTTAAATTTCAAGGCTTACCTTGAAGGAGGGCAGGCGGATAGCTCCTCGCAAACCGATTCCCAGGCCCATTCCCTCGTAGCCCAGTCCCTCGCCCTTGTTCCAGTTCTCCAGCAGACTTGAACCCATTGTCTCTTTAGGTTTGGGTCTTTCTTCTTCCTTCCCCTCTGTACCCTTCACTGGAGTCAAAGACGCCTGGGAAAAAAAACAAGAACAGGATTTTAAAGGCACCAATTAGAGTCTTTTGTGACCTCAGTCTACAGATCAATACCCATGAAACGCATGCTGCTTCAGGTGTGAATGCAACCAGTTAACTGGTAGATTATCTTTCCAATAAATTGTTTGGTCTATAAAATGCCAGAAAACTGTGGAAAAAGTCTTTAACATGCTCGTTTTGTCTGATCATCAGTCTGTAACCCAAAACAAATCATTTAAGCAAAGTATTGTTCATCAAAGCTGCTGTCATCTTTCCACTATCTGTATCACAGATCTGTCACAATCCTTCAAATGTTTAGAAACTGTTTTTATTAATCAGCACGGCTCAAAGATATTTACTAATACTGTAAGATTCATTCAGCTGCAGGTTTAGACAGAGTGACACGTTGGCTAAAACTACATAGAGGGTGTTTTACTTCTTCTTCTGTTTTAATAGTGTGCAAAAAGCATCATGTTTGATTAGTTAATTCATTTTAATGAACATTTGTGCTGCAATGCAAACTACTACCTACTACTTACTGTTCTTGATGTCTCCCATTATGTGTAATTGAAATCATGTGATATCGACCGTATTACAACATTTTGATTATTTATTTATTTTAATATTTCTGATATATTATTATTACTATATCTTTTATTGCCTTCAATCAATAGAGACAGCTCTAGAGTGACAGTCCTGGATTATGAGGAGAGAGAGAGAGAGAGAGAGTTACCTTTGCCGAGCGCTCCTTCTTATCCCACCAGTCATCAAAGGCTCTAAACGCCACCACCTCCACCATTTTGCGGTTGAGGTCCCTCTTCATGATGGCCTTCAGCTCTTTGACAATGACCAGCAGCACACCGTCAACAGTGGCCTTGTGTGGATCCTCTTTTTTAGTCTCATATCCAGGTGGAGGAACAGTAGGGTTGAACTTTGGTATACTGGGATGCTGCCACTGCTGTCCGGGTGCCCTGGCGCTGTAGCCAGGTGGGCCCCATAGACAGGGGCGCACATAGGGGTCCCCCAAAAGGCCCAGACGCACCACTGTCTATAAAATGTGGATACTGATAGGCCCTCGAGTCTGAGCTATGCGACTAAGCATTGCTGCTGCATCTGGGAAGGACATGGGGACGTTGCTCCACTGTTCCCACCGCAAGCCGCTCATTATGTCCACCGGCATCAGTGGCATGATGCCGTGAGAGTAGGGACCCATGTGGTGTCAGCATATGGTGAGGCACTCCGGGATGACCAGCCAGCGGCAGGTGGTGGTGTGTGATGGCGAAGCCGGCCTGGTGTTTGGAGGTGGGGGAAGCGGGAGGGAGGGATGGAAATGGTCTGCATCTGGGACACGGCGAGTTTACGACGATGCCCTTGCCACAGTCTCCACCGGTGATCGGAGTCCCCGGCATTCTCATCGTCAGAGATCTCCATGTCTTTCTCCCGACGACTGGTGGGCCTGTGTAAAGAGGGACAGCCTGTCAGGACTACGCAACGGCAAACATCTATATTTTTTTTTTTTTTTTTACAGGTTACTCAAGTACAATGATCTCCATGACAACGGAGCAAACGCCATATACTTCTGAAGACTTTGAGATGAGGTCAAAAGGCACAGGAACAAGTTAGTGAGTTGTGTTGTGGGATTGTCTATTGCACCTTTGACTTTAATATTTAATATGGGTATAATTAGATTTTTCTATCTTAGTTCTGAATCAATACTTGACTTTTAGCAATTATATAGCAAAAGAACTGAAGTTTGATACCACTCAGGGAGGAGTGAGTAATTCAAAATGAGAACAACAAATGAGTTAAAGGCCGATGTGAGCTCAAAGTTTAGTATTCGCAATAGCAAAGTCAAACACAACTGACCCATGTCATCGGTCAGCATGTTTTCCAAACACAACTGTTTGCTCGAGGCATCAAAACAATTTCATCCTAAAACCACAGCAGTGGATAATATGACTGCGAGACTTTGCGGCGTTAAAAGAAACCCGCATTGAGTTCTCTTCCCTGCTGTTTATAAAAGGATCTCTGTTACAACTGCTGCAAAAATGAAACTAAGTAAGAGTAAACTCAGCATGGGAGTGGCGTTGTTCCCCAAACGACCTGTTCGCAGTGCTTGCTTTGTGATAACTTGAAATGTGAGACAGGAGGACGCGGTGGCCAATCCGGACTGTCAGGCTCAGCAAAACCAGGAAGTGTGGTGCTGAATGGGGCCAACAGCCAAACTGTGTTTTCCTCCGCGTGAGCGTGTGGTGAGTATTAGAAAGAGGAAACAAGAGTGTTCAATTCCCCAACAGCGGAACGGCTCTTGTTTCTCCTTTCAAAGCACAGCGCAAAGTGTAGAAACACAACATCACAGGCCAGATGGTGTAACTGTGACTTCAATCAAGGAGACCCACATTTGAATGTGAAGGTATTTGCAAAGGCTGCAACTTATTCGGCTGCAACTTTTCATTCATTAAACTCCTTTCAGCTGTTTTTACCTGCACTGACGAGGAGTTTTTGTAGATTTATTCAGAGACAATAGTCTAACACTTCTTAAAAGAGGTAGTTCTTAGACGAATAATAGTTGTTCTGAGACCTGTCAACAATAAACAACACAACGGAGTTTAACTGAAACAGCAAACACCTTTTTTGTGGCCTCTCCATAAGTGGACTGTTGTGAAACCGGAACTTTTTTAACAACCAGAATGAAACAAAAGGAAAAGTTTACTACTACCACCTTGCACTGAAACTAGACCTCACTTCCTGTGTCCTCCGCGTAACCGTCATTCACAGCTGTGAGTAAACACCAGCACCACGCTACTATCGACTAGTCAAGACTACCAACACGGGCTCATTTGAGCTACATTTGGCACTTTAAAATGATGTTTTTCCTGTGAAATGTGCCAAAATTAACATATGGAAATGTGTTATTTGTAATGTAAACAGCTTCCAGTCTAGTTCATATACAAGTAAAAACAAAAGGTGTCTTACTGTGTCCATTTTATCTGTGGGAGTGTGGCCTCGAAAATGTCCATCTTTGAGGTCACTGTTGCTCATCTTCTCCTGGACCGGAGAGCTGATTCTCTTGATCAGGGATGCAGTTCCAGGAATTGGCTCTTCATCTTCCGAGTCTGGCAGTGGGGTCGGACTGATGTCCTCCAAGCCTGTGCTGGAGGGACGGGAATTCTGCTGGCCACCTTGGGAGCCGCTCGTGTAAGGGGGAATGGGGGATAACTGGGAGGACGAGGAGGAAATGGGACTTCCCTCCATTCGCACCTCAGTGTCTGAGTCTCGCTCCAGGAACAGCAGCTTTGTCCTTTTCTCCTTGAGGAGCATCTCAATGCGGGAATCCAGGCTATTGCGCTCTGGGTCCAGTGTGGGGGAGCCAGGTGAGGGGCAGTGCTCTGGCGTTTGTGGAGGAGGGGTGGTCGGATGGGGAACGGGCTCTGGCGGGGGCTCGGGGATCGGAGGAGTTTCTGGTCTCTCCTTGACGGGTAAAAAGTCAGTGGCGGCTGCCAGAGGCGGCTGCGGTGGTCGGAGGTACTCACCCTCCCTTTGGGGCGGGTGATGGAAAGCTGGCTCTGACGGGGGGAACGCGGGGGGCAGAGGAGCCTGGTAGGGTGAGAAGGCGGACTTGAAGTGTTGGGCGTAGCAGGGGGAGGCGCCGTGTAGGTGAAGGAGGGGGTGGAGGGCGGAGGTTCAGGCGGGGTGAGTTGGTGCTGTTTGAAGGGAGCTTGTTCAGACGTCGTACCTCGATACATGTTGCTGCGGTACTGCGGCCTCTCCGGCCTGCGGTTGTACGCATCCTGGAACTTACTCTCGTGTCTGCGAGATTTGTAACCTCCGGAGCTCTCAGGCCGGCCGGACTGGTACGCGGGGGTGGACTGCCGACTGGAGTAGTTGGAGTCCTGAGAGAAGGGCGTACCTGTCTGCCGTGGGGTGTGAGGGGTTCCCTGGGACTGCGGCGTGTCCTGCCTCAGGCTGGAGTAGCCCGTCTCCAGGGACAGAGGAGTGGTGGAGCTGCTGGGTGGCAACGTTCCTCCAACAGCGGACACACTGCTCTCCGACAATCTGCGGATGGGCTCGCAGGCCTTAGAGGAGACGAACAGGATCGGGATCAATCAAGGGCACACACACACAAAAGAAATACCTCTGATGTTTTGTTGATGCTACTTTATATTAATGCAGTCATGAAAAACAGTTGTGATGATTTCTCCCAGATTACTAATTTTCACTGTGTATGTGAAGATCTTCTTAAAAAAAAACAACATCTACTGGATAAGAGTAGCTCTGCACAAAGCCTGGGCGACCTCGTGCTACAAGGCCAAAGTGCACGTTTCAGTGGCTTTGTGATTTCAGTCCACAGGGAAGGGTCCGGATAACATTTCCTCTGCTCTACTCCACCACCTGCTGCAGTGATAAAATGGACTGCAGATAAGGATGTCAGCTTAAATTGGCGTGTTCGTTTCTTTCTACAAAGTAACCCCACGAATCAGTAATCGCATCGACAAAATGGTGTGCAACTGTTCTCTAAGCTGACCAGAGGAGACTGAAGTACTCAACTGTTATTATCCAACTCCCACTGTCACAGTTAAGGGAGCGATTTCACATAAACTACAACCATGAACAAACAAACAAAAAAAAAAAAGGGCTTTTACCAGTAAGGCTTCTGCCAGACTACGAGGGGAAACCTCTCTGGCCTCCTCTCCACCGACAGGCAGCGTCCGCGGAGTGTAGCTGCCGTTCATCAGGAGCTGGAAGTACCTGAGGCGATTCTCACCTGCAGAATGGTAAACACGTGTGACGCAAAGTCTATAAAACAGCCTTAATGCCAGCAGGCTTTACTAAAACTAACCTGGCACAATTTATATAACCGTTACTATTCAATGGCAGCTGAACCCAAATCTAAATACACATAATGCAGCCTCCTTTCTGAGTACACAAGTTGTTTTTAAAACAGTAGAGCCTTAAAAACTAATATTCTGTATAGTTTATGCCCGTCTACATATGGACTACAAACTGTAAAACTCAGTTATGTTACGCAATAAATATTGTTGAAGTACATTAAAGTAATAAGAAACATTATATGTGACACATAAGCCCAGGCATTTCTTAAGAGATCTAAAACATGTTACAAACACTCGCTAACTACAACTCTTATTTAGACTCTATAGAAAAATACATTTGTGGAAATAATACAAGAGAACAGCGACTATGTAGCCGGTGAAAACTACACACACTGTAATTAAAAACATGAGTCATAAATGACTTAAAAACTGTTGCCGGTCAAATAAGGAATACTTTACATTGTCTTAAAGTTGCTGCTCTGCATCAGCCTCTAGTCTCAACAGTGTTACTGACAGAAACACCGAACGTCTGTCATTTAGTTTAAAGGTAACTCAACAGAGACGATCTGAAGGTGGAGGAGGACTCTGACACACTGGTCTGTGTTTGTTTACAGGTATGACATTATGCACAGTGGGAGTACACAGCACCCTGGGCTCTGGGGCTTGTGGGAGCGAGCTAACAATCAATGAAATTCAATTACCCCACGTTACCAGGCAACGCACGTAAATGTACACACGTGACAGCTGCTGCCCCCCCCACTAATAATAAGTCAAAACAAAGCTTTTATAATTTGACATCCAGTGTTATTTACAGCTCCTGCAGCAGAGCACAGGCCCGATCCTGCATACATGTAGCTTTACACTCTTTTTTCCTTGAACGCTTGACTCTGTTTACCTTTCGGGTCCAGCTCCACGTGGATGATGTTTCCCATAACAGACGTGTCGTGGAGCGACTGCACGGCCACCTTGGCGGCTTTCACGGTCTCAAAAACCACTTTGGCGATCCCCAGGTGCTTTTTGTTCTTGGGGTTGTACAAGATCTCGACCTCCTCGATATCTCCAAATTTTTTGCACATGTCGGTAAGAAATCCTTCCCGTATGTTGTCGTTGAGTCTGGCGAAAGTCACCTCCTTTGGAGGCACGGGGCCGATGTAGCACTCGTCGATCTGGGAGGGGAGAAGGGAGAGAGGGGTTAATGGTGCTTTTGGGTTTAATGTCGCACCATGTGGGGTCGCTTTCTGGACAGCTGAGATAAGAACAGCAGCGCCGGAGGAGTTACGGGGAACATGCACATCCAGTCGGGACCTCTGCACGTGAGATTGGGGTTATTTTGGATGTAACAGCCCTCTGACAATGACCCAGAGATGAGTCAGGGGGGTGTGTCTGCAACTTCTGACAGCCCCTCTCTCCTTCCACGGGGTAAAAGCTGCCACCGTACTCTCTGTCAGAGCAGATACCTTAAATTTGGGCACCGGTAGGTCCGTCTCTTTGTACTTAGTCCAGAGACGACCGATCCTCGGGTCTCGGACGATGTCCACTGGTGGCATCCCGGGGTTCTGTAGGAGAGGAGAGGAGACACAACACTGTTATCCATCCCGTTCTCAACTTCACACGGCGAGAACTTGTTGCAAAGTAGTTGGGTTTTTTTTTTTGGTTACACAAACCGGGCACGGTGTTTTCATTAAACCCTCTCTCTCTCCGCCACGCTAGTTCACGATGCGGGGGAACATGCCCGCGGCCACCACGGCCACATTGTAACCTATCATGGAGGTCGGCTACTCGGTTACTATTGTAAGCCGTGCTCGCCGCGTCAAAAAAGGCGGTCCACTTACGGGCATGTTGAAAGTCTGTCCATCGTAGCGGTACAGTTTGTGTGACCCCTTCTTCAGCGCCGGGTCGATGATCAACTTGTAACTTCTCCAGTGGTGACTCCGCTTCTCCGCCGAGCCGCAGACGGGATGACTGTCCATGCCGTTCGCCAGACCTGAAACGACAGGCAGGCGACAAGGAGAGAGGGAGAGCTATCGTGAGGCAACGCCAAAACACGGTCCCGTTACCAGCCCCCAACACTTTCCCCCCCCCTTCAACAGCCAAACGTTACAGATGCATGACTTCGGGTGGAAGCGGGCAACCCCCCTCCCCAAAGTGAGAGCAAAAAAAAACGGGATCTAGCGTATATCCCAGTTACGGAAAACAGGCATTAGGAGGGCTGGAGAAAGAGGAGGAAAAAAAAAAAGCTTACTTGAACTCTGCTTTCTGCCATGGTCTTCGTTCAATCTGTTTCTCTCCCCCGGCTTGGACATGGTTCGTCCGATCGAGTGATTTTTTTTCTTGAATTGATGAAAAGACGAGGTCGCTTTCCTTCTCGCCGCTTACATTACATGATTTAGCTTGAAGAATACTGCCTCCTTTTCGGTGAGAGCCAACACATATTGTGTGCCTCTGGTCTGTAGCTTCTGTCTCTCCCACAATACACCGCTAGGCTTGCCCTCCTCCGATGCTACCCGCACATTCGCTACGAACTTGTTTCTATTTCCACAGAAGCGTTAACGTCGCTGTAGCTGTTTGTGTTAAAATTAATACATTTAGGTTTTTTTTTTTTTTTTTTTACAAAAGATAAATCGCATAGTAACGCTCGTCTGGGCACGTGAGCTTAACACGAGCCCCGTAACGGCTTTGTGTCGCTAAACCTTTTAAATCATGTTTGTGTTGAATCTGCCGACTGCATTTACCCATATGGCAAACACAAGATAGACACAGGGGGCAATATTTCCTCAACTGCCACTAAAACGCTTATAAAAAATATTTTACTCGGTTTTTTTGTTTTGTTTGTTTGTTTGTTTGTTTTAGATTTGGTTGTTGTCGTTCACACATTCAAGCATGTTGTGGCCATAATGGAAGACGGACACAAGCGGACGGGGGGACTCCGCCGCCGTAGAGCCGGTTGTTGACTGCTAATGTGTGGCCGTTAATACAAACCTCGGTTCGGTTGAATTAAACAGTCGAGCTAACCGTTTATAACCGTTTATAACCGTCGGAATGCGGCGGTTTGCTACGTCTCCCTCTCTCTTGTCAGTTAGTCTAATCCGGACCGACAAACTAGTGCCAAACCGTCGTGTGTGGGATCTTTCTTTTTATATATATGTATATATACGTATTAAAACAACCGCGGAGCTTTCCACTTTTTACACATCACCTCAAAACCCCGCTGTGGATTAGTTGTGCTTGAAGTTTTTTAATTTTTGTCGAGCAGAAGTGGAGTTTTGTTTGACATTGCCTGGCGTTTTGCAGTGCTCGGGCAATTGGCTGGTTAACAGCGGCAGCTCGGCGGGCCAATCAGAGCGCAGCAGCAGAGGAGCTGTCTGCTATTAGAAGCACGGCTCAGGAGTCCTTCAACAGAGAGCAGAGAGAGGGGGCCGAGCGCTCTCGGCAGCCATTTTCCTAAAAACAGGACTCAATGGCCTATATGGGTTTCCTTTGTTCCAAAAGGGATCTTACACTTGATTTCCTCATCTCTCACGGACTATGATAAAACTATGATTCCTCCTTTTAAAGGATTGAGAAGAAGGAAGAGAATGTACTGGATGTAATACCCTGTGACATTTTGAGCCTTTTTTCCTCTGCCTGGAATCCATCTTTGTCTTAACTAGGTCATGGCACACCCATATAATAGTATTTATATTTCTTAAGTGAAAAGAAAACCAAATGTTGTGAATAAACAGCTTTATGGTTTTGGAGATGTTGAATTTGAAAAGAAAGAAAAAAAAAAACCCAGTTAAAGTGAATGTGTGATGGCTGGTTGTTGGCATTGCACTTTATGGCCTTGTAGGATAGCAATGAGTAAGTTAAACTCTTTTATAATAATTTAACTATTTTGATAATTTAGTAATGTTTAAAATGTGAGGCATGCAGTTACTGTTATTAAAAGTATGTTCTGTCAATTTATCTATTGATCTATCATCAATTTTATCACATAGAAAATGTTGAAATCTGTAATAGCCAGCTTTATTCAATATGTTCACTGGCATGCTGACATATAAATACAGCCTACCAGTCCTGCTTATATACCTTGCTCCTCAAATGGCAGAAAGCAGGCCATGGGTAACTTAATGGCCTTTTGCAATAGTTTATAGTGCTGCCTGCAATTTTCTGACTGTTGATTGATAACCCATTTGCTTTGATTAATGACTTTAAACACTTTCCTCTCACAACAGCAACGCTTAACACCCTGATGGTTTGTGTTGTACCCTACCTACAACTGGAGACAACTTCAGGCACGATTAGGTTTGTGCAGCCCATTTGCCATTTAAGAACCAAATGCGTCCAAACGTGTAAACGTCGGCTTGACCTTGCGTCAAGGGCATATTTAAATGTATTAAGAAAGCTCAGTTAGTCTTTTTTTTTTTTAAATCCTTTTAAAGTTTCTACAACAGTGTTAAAAAAAAAAAAAAAAAAATGAAGACTGTAAAAATCTTAGAGGAAACAGATGGAGGGAAGACTCTTATGGTGAAAATATTTACCTCAGCACTTTGGTGAAATGCAGTTAACAGGCCTAAACGCAGGGACAGGAGGATTGTTTTCAGCTCCATCTTCGGATCCTCTAATAATGGCATAAATAAGGGGTGGGAAAGCGTCTCCTGAAAAGGAAGGAATCCATTAGCACGACAGATAAGAGCTCTTTTGAAAACTTTTTTTTTTTTTTTGATCAGTGGTGGTAAGGCATTGCCTCTCAGCCAGCGAATATGCATCTTCAAGCATCATCTGTGTGGGCAATATGCAAACCATCTCCTCTCTCTCTCCTTGAAGACAGGATTTGCAGTCAAGTATAACCTCTTCAATTTCGACATTTCTCACAGAGCTACACCAATATATAACCACAAGGAAGTATTGTTTTTGTGAAAGGTAATGGATTTTGAGCTATTTCACTCATTTGTCAATTTATATATGTCTACACGTAAGTAGGCTGTATTATATAATAGAGGAGAGACAACACGAACAATAATTGTGGTTAAAACGTTATCAGCAAAGTTAAAAAAAAAAAAAGAAAGAAAAAGGCTATTGACTTTTTTTGTATAATTTAACTCATATTTTTTTTTTGATTGATATTGCAAACTTACAGTTAGTATTCACAACATGTAATCCAAGTCTTAAAAAAACGAGCAAAGGAATCTTATGGGGAGGAATCTTGGATATTTTCACTGCTTCCCTTTGTCCAAAGAGACCTTTTTGGTGATAGACTACACTTGTTCAATGGTTTCTCTCTCTCTGCTGTTCTCTTGTCTCAAAATGGCTTCTCTACAGACAAAGGACAGCACTGTGCTGTAAAATGTTGCTGCGCCATAACTGGGTGAGGCTCGCTCACTCGGCGAGAGTGGAGGTTTATTTTTTTTTTTTTTTTTTTAACCCGAGGACGTTTCTCGGTGATTCAACAGGAAGGCTTTTTTTTTTACACGGGTGATTATCTTTTTTTAAAACGTTAAAACATGTAAAATACGAAGAAAAAGTAGTCGACAGAGCGTGTGAGGAAGGATAACGTTAATAAGGTTAATAAGGTGGCGTATTTAGGCTGTCGGTTGCTGGGTGCCGACTCGCCCTGGCAACGGCAGTAATCCGAGAGCTCTGGACGGTTGCCACGAAAGCTCGAGCGCGTTGCTGCTGCACCCCCACTCTGCCCATATAAGGTCAACAGGAATCCTCTGCACTGTTAGCCCTGTTGTTTTTGTATCTGGGTGAAAATAACACTGGGGGGGTGCTTCGGGCTTCCGTACTTTAAGTCTGAGACAAAAGGCAAGGCGGGTCGAGTGTTTTTAAGTGCTGCAGATCATATAAATGAGTAAGAATCGATTTTATATTCGGTAAAGGAGTTAAAAGTAGACATGGGGGGGAGGGGGTGTTAAAGGGCTTTCCATGTGCCTGTTGGTGTGTATGAAGACACAAAGTCGTAGTCGGTGTGGCAGAGGCCTGTTTGTCTCGTTATCCACTCCTAGATCCGGCTGCCAAATGCGCACGTCCTGTATGAACACCATTCCTCCACTGCTCCCTCTACCCCCATCCCCATGTGCAGTGGAGACAAAAAAAAATGTGTGAAGAAGGTTTTATGTGTGTGACAAAGGTGAACATGTAGCGTTCAGATCCACCAGGGTTATTTATAGGCCTTTGTTGTAAAAAAAAAAAAAAAGAAAAGAAACAACCCTCCCCGGTGGGTTGCGCCATTCAGCTTTGCGCCGCTGACAGACTGGAATATTCCACACAGAGGATTGGCCTCTCTTCTTGCAGGACAGCTGTCTCTCTGCACGGCGAACATCTATTTTTGACAATTTCTCTTTGTTAATTGATGAAAAAAAAACAAAAAAAGGGGGCTATACACACGTATGGATATTTTGTACACCTACGGGACAATTTCACATCTTTTATATGCTACTTTATTCACATGTTAAAGCTGCCAGTTTCACCTTGTAAGTCAAACAAGCACTCTTCTTTTTTTGTTGATATTTATTTATTATACAGGCATTTTTTCATAGCTTTTGCTACACCATACCGTATTGTAGAAGCATATGGGGCACATGAGAACCGTGTATGGCTATTTTTGTGGAGTCAGAATAACCTGGTAGACAGACTGCTAAATGCCCTTTCTTTCTGTCTCTCTTTGTATGTTCAGCCTTTTATTCTGACGGATTGTTCACTGAATCAAATCAGGTTTCCTCGGCACTTTGTGTGTATGTGTGGTTTTTTTTTTTTAAGGATTTTTCATGCAGATTGGTGGTACTGTATTTATTTTATATGGCTTTTGTTATTTCTAGCTCTTAAATTGGCTTATTTGCATGTCTAGTGTAATGTTCCACAGTATGGTTTCTGATGTAGTCTCTTTTACTGTCTGTGTTTTCTAAAATGTTTGAATAAATAGATTATACACTCATTTTATGTTTTGTTGTTGTGGAAATTTAAGCAGGTTGTTGTATTTTTTTGATGGATTTGCATTGCAATTTTCAACTTAAAATGATTTTTAGGCCCATATTTTAAACAGTGTTTTAGCCTAGTCAGGACATACTACACTAAAAAGTACATAATGCACAATTCATGCTGCAGCGTGATATTTTTTGTTGTTGTTGTTAAAATTCCCTTTTAGTTATTGCAGTAAATGTGTGTGTGTAGTCAGGCAAAATGTTTTCTGAAAATAGGCAAAATGAAGGGCAGTGTCAGCTCATCCTCTTAAAGGGACAGCTTGCTTAAAATGTCCTTTACAATAACTGCATATTTTCCCACCAGTGACAACTGAAAATTAACTTTTTAATTTGACTTTGTAGCCTACTTCAGTTTGGGTTTGACTGCCTTTCTGAGAGAGAAAATGTTTCAGACCAGAGACTGAATGAAAATGATCTCAATTGCAACATTTCTGTGCACTCTGGCTCTTTCCTGACACCCACTGTAATCAGATATCTGTGATTATTAGCAATCATCGACATGACTGACACATATTTCCGATCCTAATGTTAAAAATATCCCGTTCTGGCATTATGCTGTAATTTCCATGAAAATCATCCAGGTCATTTGATGTCTAGTTGTTACTCAAAGGCAACTGGACTGAATGTATCACACCTCACTGCATGTCCAGTTGCTTCTGATCGTTACTATATATCTGGCTCACTATCTCCAATTTAAACACAGAGAAGCTATTTCTCACGCTCTAAAAACAGCCTCAAACACCCACAGCCTCCCTTTCAAAAACAGCACGTAACCTACTGTACCTCCGACTGTTATCTCTCCAAACCAATCACTTTATTTTGCACATTTAATTAGTTTTTTGCTGGATAAGATGTCCGTACATTGCACCCTGGAACGAGAGAAAATAGTTTGTCCTGACGCCCAATCTGTGATGTCACTGCTGTGTTTGGCCATACAGACTGAACAAAGAAGTAGAACTGACATCTTGGTTGTAAATACGCTTGGGGGATTCAATAGATCACATAAAAAAAAAAAAAAAATGCAGGAATACACACAACAAACTTTCTAAAAAAATGCATGTATGTATTTCATGCTTGGATTCTGGTTGCTGAAGGTTTATTTAAAGGTTAACACTCGAATATTATACAGTCAGACCAAAATCAATTAAAACGTCTGTACCTCGTACATTTTGGTTTCTCGTGAATCATCATCAGCCACATTTGTGAATACCACAAATATTAGACTGACATTATCATTAAAGGAATATTACATATTGATTGAAACATCCACTCCTGATGATGAAAAGAGTGGACAACCCAACATAAAATGCACACATACATATAGCATATTAAAAGAATCTGAGAGAAGTGCGGCAGCTTATTTATTCCTTGTTATAATTTGTGTTTCACTTAAGGAGAAAAGGGGCTGGCCTCACAGTGTACGTTTCTGATAAAGCAAGTTCACAGAAGTCAAAATGGCTAATGGAGGTACAAGGTTAGATACACAATCAGTCTTTTCACTGTCATCAGAGGATCTCCAGGTCACACATTCATGACTTCACTGATAAGGAGTCTTATTGTAGTGATAACTGTGACTTTACTTCAGCGTTAGGGGTGAACATTTTTTTAGTGTTATCTCACACGCACAGTGCTGTTTGATGGAGGCAGTGCTTCAGATTGAGTACCCACCCAGAAAATGCAATAGAGGAAGTGGGAGCAGCCGGACTCAGCAGCTCCACATGTTTCAACTCAGCTGCGGCACTATTCATACCCAGATGAAATGAGATGCTTTCAGCGAGCGGGCTGACAATAAGACTGGAGAAAAGTGTAGGGGGTCAATTGGAAACAGCTTCAATGTGACAGGAACAGGAAGTGGTGAAGAGAGTGAGCTACCTGGTAAATCATGAGACTTGTCTGTTCCTCTCTATCGACACTGCCTGTATATCATCTCAGCCTTTCCAAATATAGATTCATTAGGCTTTACCATGTGTTCAACTTAAACCTGGAGGGAGTATCTTCAGCCCCGTCCTGTCTGGCACCTGTTTGATTGTTTTGGTGGCAAGATGACACAAAACGGTGCTAGGACTGTGAATGGTACCGCAAAAAAAGGAGAAGAACTTAAAATTGTGATAGTGGGAGATGGAGGCTGCGGGAAGACCTCACTTCTGATGGTTTATGCTAAAGGTGATTTTCCAGAGGTAAGAAGAGCTTCCGTGCCATGTAATGTTTCTCATTTATTGATATTGTATATTCATTTATTAGTACACACATGTTTTTATGACCATAACTGTAAAATAATGTTACATTTTGAACTTATCTCAGCCCTTAATGAGAATTTAGTCACATAAATGTGAACTGCATTTCCTGTTTCCAGTTCACTCAGAAGAATGTCATACCTTATAAAAGGGAAGAAATATGAAAGAATATATAAATATACAGTAAAGTTGGGTCATAAACTGGACATCTTCATCTTGTGTGTCAAAAACAGAAATATGCGCCATCAGTGTTCGAAAAATATGTCACCACTATCTCTCTCGGAGGAAAAGAGATAAAGCTCAACCTGTATGACACAGCTGGTAAGACTCTCGATCAAAAATCACCTCCATGTTGAAACATCTGTGATTTATGTTTTAGTTTCCAGTACACTAAATTTCACACTGTGTGGACAGATATCAGAGTTTTCAGCATGCTGAGCTCAGTGACCACACACTGCGTCCGCTGGCTGGACTTTGATGGAAACATTGTGCAGATAGACAACCGTATAAGTAATAATAATGTTATAGCTTTTTATCTTTTAAGATAAAGTTCAAACATCCTCCCACTGTGTGTTCAGTCTTTATCTGGTTGTTCTGACTCTCATACAGAGGAAGTGGTATAGGGCGATGTTGACGTCACAGCGTCACCGACATCATCTTTCAGGAACTGACCAGCTGTTTCTATGTTCGTAACTACTAACAAGTTGTTATAGTATCAACTTTAGTGGCAAATCTAGTGTAAGTGTTTTTGTCTTCACAAATAGACAAAACGAAAAACCTAAATCAAGTAAAATCCTCCTTATTCATCCTGATACCTGATTTTATGTGCTGAATATGTACTTTAATTTACTTTATGTGCTCTCCATTACTGTATTTTTAGCCACTGATTGATATTAGAGTCAGATCAATATTGGAGGGTTATTTTTTATTAGTTTACGATACACCACTTCAGTGCTAGGGCTGTGGGTATCAAATACTATTCATATTTAATACTAATTGATTGAATTGTGTTCAAAAAGTGTCATGCACTCAAAGTAGTCAGATTCTCAGATTTAAATTGCTAATGTTGTTGATATTTGCTCTTTGTTATTTAAATAGATACAGTTATTTAGGTTAAAAAATGTAGGATTTTTTAAGAAAAATATGTTTAAATTTGGGTGTTAAGAACTATACCATTTTGTGTTAGAGGTAATCGAGGTAAATAATACCCAACGTGACTCAAAGATCATGCATTTTACAAACTGCTGTATTTGTATTGGCCATAAAACATGATGCTCTTATGCGAACTCAACAGTTTTTAAAGTAATTTTCAAGAAAACCCCTGACAGACGTCTGCAGGCAGCTTATCTTCTGTAGAACTGCAGCAGTGTGCCTTACATCAGCGGAAAAAGGAAGCTGAAACCAGGATGTGGTTTTGCACATCTACCCTGTCTTTGTAGCATACATCATATCTTTATGTTTAGGCTGTTGCATCCAACGCAGACCAGTTTCTCCCTTTGTAAGAGAGGGAATTTCCAACCTAACACTGAATTCCATACATTAATCCGCTAACATGCATTGTGTGCCTTCACTCTTTTCAGGACAGGATGACTATGACAGACTTCGCCCGCTCTCATACCAAGAGGCCAATCTGATTTTAGTGTGCTTTGATGTGACCAACCCCACCAGCTATGAAAATGTCTTGATAAAGGTAATGATTTATACGGTCCATTAACAACGTGCTGTGGTACACAGGCAGGTATAATGAAACAAGAATGTCACCATTCAACTGGAGCTCAAATTCCGTAAATGATTGACTCTGGTATGTTGATGTTGGCTGCATTCTTGTGGCTATGATTAACTCACGCAATTGAGCCTCCATGTGGACATTGACTCCTCATGCATCACAGGTTAATGTTGTGCTCGGAATTTCTCTTCTCAGTGCTGCTTACAAAATAGTCAAAGAGAGTGATTGGGGAAGCACAACACAAGTCTGGTGTTAAAACAATGATTCCTTATTTATTTTTTTTACCCAGTGGCACCCAGAGGTGAAGCACTTCTGTCGGGACACTCCGGTCATCCTGATTGGCTGCAAGACAGACCTCAGGAAGGATAAAGAGTGTTCAAGGAAGCTCAAGGCCATGAATCAGGCTCCCATCACTTACATGCAGGTAAGGCAAGGAGTGTGCAGACATTAAGTGAGCTAAAAGAACAGGCCTATGCGAGAGGAAGTGCCCTAACCAGAACCTACGACCACATTCAACTTTACTACAGTTTCAGTGCAATAACAGATCTGTTTTTCTTCACTCGTGACCTTTATAATCAGTCGCACAGTCTAATTCTTTGCTGTTCATGTCGGTTTGGGCTGTAGGGTGAGGAGACCCGGCAGCAGATGAATGCAGAGCTCTACCTCGAGTGTTCGGCAAAGTATCAGGAGAACGTGGAGGACGTTTTCAGAGAGGCCACCAAAAGAACTTTGGCCCACAATCGAAAACAGAAGCACTTCAAGAGGAAGAAGAAATGTGTCGTTTTGTGAAGTCAAAAGGACAGAGGCTTGATGAGGACTCCACCCTCCTGCATGTAAGAGGCCACTGCTGATGGCTTCACTTTTCTCTCACTCACATTCAGACTGGTTGGTCACACACCAAAGATGATTCAGAAAGTACTCACTCCCTGTAAGTTTGAGCCTCACTGAATCATCCTTTACCGTCACTAGAACACGACTACTGACGTAACAGGAAAAAAAATTAGGCAAGAAGCTGCAGCAGCGTGGACTTTCTAAAGTGCTACGCAACTTGAAATGCTTTCTATCAATCTATTTTTATATTTTGTCTGATAGAAAGCGTTGTACTGTTTCCAAACCATATTGTATTGATATATATCTGTGTGTATTTTTTAGGAATCTGAAGAGTTAGTTCTCATGTTGTGTTTTCCATATATTTTTGTAAGGTCGAACTGAATGTTTAATGTGTTGCAGATAAATTCTCAAACGAAATAGCAGTTAAAATGGAATAAATCTTTGTACTGTGAGTCACGGTTCAAGGGGAAAAGAAACTAAACATTCATGAACACCCAGCAGGGTTATATCATTTCCAGAAAAACAAAACACTGAACTAGAATTTGTTTTGGAGCTGTGTCAGTTTTAAACAAGAGCTCTTATCTTTAACAACAGCGCCCACTAGTGTCGAAACAAATGAATGTGAGCAATGGCTGCTAATAAGACAAAATAAATACTTTCTGTATCAGTGAACAGAATAAACACAGCAACAGACAGTTTTTAAAATGGTGTTTAATTATTAATATATATTTTTACAACGATGTACACAGATTGAGAAATTGTCATCTGTCTCTTGTCACTGATCATACTTAGGCACCAGTTACAGTCTTGAAATGAACATTGTTTAACATCAGCTACATCATAAAATGAGGAAATCAAGTTGTTCTGTGCATTCGGGCAGCTCTCACATCAAATGTAACATTTTGGTCTGTAACCAAAAAAAACAAAAAAACAAAAAAAAAACAAGCTTCAATTCTCCCTCAATAAAAGTGATGTGTGATGAAATATGTTGATTCTGTCTGGCATGATTGCTTTGTGGGAAATGAAATAACGCTACAAGCTTTTGATTTTTCAGAGTAAAAAAAAAAAAGAAAAAAAAAAAGGAGGAGACAGACATTTTTGCTGTAACAGGCTGGAGGGAGAATAAGGCATCAGAGACCTGACACTTCTACAGCTGTCAGTTTTAAGCCCATCTGAACCTTTGCTGATAGAAAAAAAAAAAAAAAAAAAAGAGCCTTGTACTTTCAAACAAGCGTTAAACACGACCCACACAACACTACAGTGAACTAGAGCAAAAAGCTCCAGGTTTGGCCGTAAGTTTAATTCCTACAAATATTATATTTAGTATGTAGTATCGGAATTAGAAACAAAAAAATCCAGCACAATTTTCTCATCATCACTACATCTTAAATCTTACAGTACGAGCTCTAATAGCAGCATTTGATCAGAATATGGGAACTAATAGCTTGTCGTTTTCAGCCCAAATCTGATAAATCCAAACTGTGCATGGACTTCAAGTGTTAAAACAATTTAATTTAATAAACCTGACGCAAGATTTAGACCAATAGTGAAACATGATAAACCTATGTTAGTATTACGTTAATGAGAACATTTAAGTGTAACCGATAGGGAGGAGCTCACATGAAAATCTCCTTCAACCCTCACTGGAACAACCGTTTTTTTTTTTTGTGGAGACAGTACAAGTTTTTATGTCTGTGTTCATGTGACCAAGTTTAGGCGTTTAGATCATAGAAAAACAGTTATGGCTTTTGTAACCGCTGCCTGAAGGGAGAAACAGTGGTGCATTCCTTTATAGCTCTGACTCTGTCGAGGAACTAGGAAAAACAACAAAATCAGAGCTGCCACTGACTCCAGACAGACAACATACACCAGAAGGAGTTTCTTTTTCTGAAAATTGAAGGTCATTTTGGGCAGTCAAGTATTAGGTTTATGTTTTTTAAAGTAGGAACAAAATCTAGTAAGTAAAATACTGGTAAGCAGTGAGATATTGAACAGGGAGTTGAGAACTACACATAAAAAGTTAGAGAACTCAAGAAATGAAGCGCAGTGACAGTTTGACCATTAATACTTCACAGAAGTACGAAGTATGTACATGACAGACTTCAGGTCTTAAAAGGCAAACTATTTTCTGTTAAAATTGATGCTACCTGCCCTTTTTTTTTTTTTTTTTTAAGTTGCATATGATTTGAACAAAAGCTCTCTGACACAATTCATGCGCTGACTGACACAAACACCCAAACAAAACACATTCTTTCCACTCACATTGTATGTACAGGATAAAGCGACAGACTGTTCGGATTTCAGGTGAACACCGCTTTGTGTGTTGTGACCGACTGTGCTGCGACATTGACGACGAGTCATTAGAAAGCAGAAGCCTGTAGGCCAGATACTTTGGCTGGACACTGTTGCCGCCATCAAAGCCTGAGAGAAGCAGCGGTTTCAGCTTCGTCTTCTCCCGGCCTGATCGTTTGCCGTGGTCAGTCTATCAAGCGATTGTGCGCGTTGCTTCAAAATTACTGGCCGTTTGTAGGAATCTGGAGGCGTCACGCTGAGTTTTTGTCTCAGTCATTTTTTTGCACTTTTCCCTGGTTTTTCTGAATCTTTTGGTGGACGACTTTTACAGTAGTGAGGAAGTTTCCCAGGAACAGGACAAGAAAAGTCAGTGCCAGCATAAATACCTGAATGAAAAAAGGAAAAAGACATTTTATTCCAAGACACGTCCTAACATGCATTTTTATAACTGTAGCAATATCTGTATTTCAAGATGTTGAAGGGTTAGGACATGTTAGGTAGGTGGGGCTAAAATTATTTTACTAACACTACACTAGACTTTATCACAGGTCATTTTAATAAAGAAATCGAGTCTGATCAACTTCAGTGGCCACTCCTATCACCAGCTCTGAATATAGCATCAAACGTGCTTACATGCAGGTAAAAATGATTTTAAAATCATTTAAAAATGAAGTCTGTCAAACATTTACCAATAAACCAAACAATGTTTTACTCTGCCTCGACATGTCTCTTGACATTTAAAGCCAATGTGATCCTTACCTGCCACTCCTTGCAGTCTTCATGTCCTGCCAAGCGAAAGAGGGTCACAGAGTTGTACAGCTGCCAAAACTGTGAAGGAAGAGGACGCATTATCTTTCATAACGTCGCTGCACACTCTGGTTGCACAAACAAATTTCGCTTTGATCCACATCTTTCTCATCAGATCTAAAAAAAAATGCATAAAAGAAATTGTGCAATTGTGTGCACTTTTTATGCACTTAATACAGAGCAAACAATGAATGATGGTTTAAAATGGCTCAATGGGCTTGCATGAGCTTGTCGGATGTCCTCCTGATTGTAAAATATTTGGAATTAGGCGGCAAAGCTGTTGTTTGATATTCAGCAAAAGCAGAAGAAGAGTTAAAGTTTTTACTCACATGGCCAAAAAAGAGAAACGGCAAAAGAAAAGTGAGGCCTCTCCACATCCAGGACTGAAATCCCTCTGCAGAGAAACAGAACTGTAACGGTGACCTTGGGACAACATGACACAGAATACTACACTGTTGTGTCGCAGTCGTCTCTGCACAACAATCTGACATGAGATGGTTTGAGAAGCAAATTCACTCAGGCCGTACTCAAATTACTCCCGACAACTGTGTGGCAGTGCGCTGATGTTAACAACGGTCTCCAGCTCACAACCTTTACCCTATTTTTTTCCAGACATGGCGTTGCAGATGGCTCAAGAGTTCAAACGATTGAAATGACTACAACCAAAAATAGCTTACAACGTACCCACTGTGAGGTCCAGCTGATTTCTCTCTCCCAAAGCTCGCAGCCTGTATAAGCAGCCGCTCTGGTAGTAATACTGGAGGAATTGGACAAAGCCTGGAGGACAAATGGATCGCGTAAAATGACAGATTACATCACACTCAACACTGAACAGATCAATGCGGTTCAGATGTCTTAATACTGCAAAGGAAAATGATTTTTGAGGACGAGCATCAGCTTATGACCAGTAACAAACCCCATTAAATGGAATAAAAAAAAAGTCAATAGCAGCCTGTGATGTGAAGCTTTGCATACTGAAATGAGGTCAATCTGTCCTTAAAACAAAACAAACAAAAAAAGAGCCACATTGTCTCACTTTAAGCTGAATTTGTTAGGTGAGGCTTAAAAAAAACAAACAAAAAAACCATCTGTCGGTTTAACATTTGACTTAACCACCCAAAACCCCAACCAAAGAGCCCCATCACACTGGTTGTCACGTCATACGTCTACATGTGATATACGGACTGTAACCACCATTATGTGAAGTGACTTAACTTCTCTATTCTGTGGAGAGAATTTTTACATTATTATAAATGCAACTATGTGTTTACAAAACAGATTGAGAGTAGTGCAGGAAAAGCTTTACTTGACCAAAGAAACTGGTGCCACCATTTATGTCCTTAATCAGTAAGATTTTCATTCATTGAGATTCTTATGTCCAATTACGCCCACTGAAATCGAGTTCATTTAGTAACAGCTCTTAGTATGAGGAACGTTGTATCATCTTGCCAGTTGTTTACTGCCTCCAAACATGTTTATGGTGTATTTAGTCACTGTGTTGCAGGTGATCTACTACCACACCATGATGCAACAGAGCTGTTCATCTCTGGTGCAGAAGAGACGTAATTACAATGCGGTTCATTTTTCTACATTACGGTCACCGGCTGAGTCTTAGCACCTCACCGCTTACATATTTTATTTGAAGTTGGATTCTGTTGTCTGTTCAGATTTTGGTTAACGAAATAAATAAAAAACAAAACCGATTAAAAACCTTACACTTAGTTAATTATTCTTTTATATATTAGGAAGGCTACAGGGTAGATTTACAATTTTACAACACAGGGTTGTATAATGAGATTAAGTTGTAGTACCCTTTATGCTACTCACAAAACAAATGTTATAAAATGATATACAGTCGATGGTGATCGTTACTTAGCAAAGAGCAACACGGTCAGTTGAATCGGTCATTAGTTGATTGACAGAAAATTTATCAGCAAGTATTTTGATAATCGATCAATCGTTTCGCTTCTTTTTTTTAAGCAGAAATGTCCAACTCTGCTCCAATGTGAGAATTTGCTGCTTTTGTTTGATTCTCATCACTGTAAACTAACTTTTTTTGACTGTTGGTCAGACAAAACAAGACATCTGAAGACTTCACCTTGGACTTTGGGAAATTATGAGGCATGTTCCACTAGTTTCTGATATTTTATAGACAAACTACTTTTTGATTAATCAAGACAATTAAGGCAGATTAAATCGATAATGAAAGTAATGGTTAGTTGCAGGCCTACATTAAGGTATTCTTTTGACTGAATAGCAAATGTCTTGCAGTGTGTAGATACATATGTAACAACAATTCTCCTTCATCTTCCACAGCTGGTGTCTTACTAATTATTTACTAGACTGAAAACACACAGCAGAGCGCCTTAACAAAAGATTAACTGAATTTTCCTTGTTTTAACTGTATAATACAACAGACCAAAGCAAAACATTACTAATTCTTACTCTGATATATGGAGAAAGCAAGGAACTGGCTTCTGAACATCTGATACATGGGCCCCTCCGGCCTGTGAAAAGACAAGATTAAACAAAAACTGAAGGAAGAAACCATATTGCCTTGATTGTTCAAATATGATCCCTGAAACAACGTGACTATGAAATCATAGACAATAACTCACCAGGTAAGCATCACACCTGACAGAAAGGTGGATACATAATGGTGAGACACCCACCAACCTTTGATCCTAAAGAGCATAAGAAGAGCATAGAAAAAGAGGAAAATTGTATAACCCAGTCCGATCATAGAGAAATCAGAGAAATGCATTTTCAACTACACGAAAGAAAGGGTGCATACCTGGAGCCATTGCTCATGAGGATGCTTTCCCTTATGGTCAATGTGCAGTAGTACCACACCAGCAAAAAGTTGAAAATCTCATCAGTGACTCTAAACAAAGAGAAAACAAAATAGTGAGCGTCTGTTTTAGATTGCAGTAAGAGTAAACAACACTAATGATCGAGGGGCAAAGGTTATCTCACCGACAGTTGAGAAAGAAGAGGCAGGTTATTGCTCCAAACATCAGGATTATTGTCATATAAAGCTTGAACTTCTCATACTCGTCTTTGTAGGCAAATCTGTGGGGAATGAATGGAAGACAACAAGATGAAAAGTTGACAATAAAAACAGACACAAATCCAGAGTCAGAACCCGTATTTTCACGGCGTCCTGAAGGCTGAATACTTCACATACTTTGCCTGGTTGCTGAGAAGCGTTACGTTCACATTGCCCAGGACCAAATTCAGGTACAGCCTAAGAACAAACAGACGCACACAAAGTTATTAAAGAGAATTATTTGACAAATAAAAGTCCCTGTCTGTAATGTTGAATAAGTGGACATGAAAAAGTACTGACCCGTTTCTCTTTGGCAAATATGCTTCCATATCAAAAAACACGTTTTCTTTTTCTTTGATTTGTGATTTGATGTCCGTTATTAATTCCAATTCCTTCTCGTCACATGTTTTTGCACCCCTGTAAAAGGAAAGGAAAAGAATCATGAGTGGAAAAGTAATGAAAAGAAATATCTTAACCCTCTGTGTGTGCCTCTACTACTTGAGTCAAACTGGACAATGAGCCAGATTATGACAGTTTACTGACTGTAGTGTAAGCAAACAAACAGTGTTCAGTCCTTATCAGAGTATACTTACTTGTTCAAACTGTACCGTAGGTCCTTCAGGCATTTTCTCTGCTTACTGATGGCGTTGCTGCATGTTGCCTGAAGATTAGTGAGCTCCTCAAGTTTTTGTCTGTATATTTTGTGAGTTTCCTAGCAATCAAGACAAAAACACACAAAGTGAGCCTGTAAAGTGAGTAAGGGACGAAAAGCCTGCTGCCTCTTTCTGCAAATTAAGCGAAATACAAACAGTCACAAATATTAAAGTATGTATATTAATGCATGTATGCTGGTGGGTGATTGCAACCAATACATACATTAACAGAATGTGTCATATTAAAATGAATCCTAACAATCACCAAATCTTTGCCTAGCTTTAAAAAGCTCTAGACGAACAGAGCGTCTATTCAGCGGAGATGGAAATGCTTCAGCCTGTGAGATCTTGTTTGACCCTTCTGTCTGAACACAAACAGCCCCTGAGACTGTATTATGTGGCGATTATATATAGATATATTCCACTTTATATTCATCTGTGCTGGCGGCCCAGACTATAGCTTTCATGTAGAATCTACAGGACCGTGTAGTGTGGGACTGTCAAGGATTTAGGGGATAGGTTGAATCTATAAATATATAAATTACTTCCACAATTAAAGTTTCATTTTGATAATAAAAAAAGGGAGAAGTGGTTTGAACAAAAGGTGTTTTCTCAGCTACTGTACTTCATTGTCATCTGCATTATAGGCCTGCTTGAAAAATGTGTCTAAAAGCGTTGTTAAAAAGTACACCATCTTGCACAGTACACATTTTATCTGTCTGCAATTCCTAAAAAAATACCAGCTACAAAACAAGACTCTGAAATGTTTGTTGGAGGCTATGAACTATAAATCTGGAAGGATGAAACTAAATAGGATTGGGAGACAGTTATATTAGTTATTCACCAGAGCATTTAAGCTTCAGTTGACAGTCACCTTCATCCTCTTTCCCTACGGAGCTGCTCCAGATTTTACATTTTGATGCCATCACAGGTCCACGTCTCAGTCATCTGATACCGGCATTAGGAGATGGGTGGTCGTGGCAAAACCCTACAGACCACATAATGCAATACTGTAGCTCAAAGTGAACGGTACCCTCTCCTATTATCGACTACTTCATATTGTTGTTTCAAGTTAGCCAGCTAGCAATGGTGAGCTAGCTTGGTGGTGATGTATGGTGATGCATTCAGTGACTGCGAAATAATTCACCCAGCCAAAAGCGACAGCAATAAACACGTAGAGTTTACCTTGAACGCCGCGACCTCTAAGTAACTTTAATGGCCTTCATTTAACGTGAATTAAGTCTCTCAACAGTGCAGTGTGCGGTTAGCTCAGTTACTGTAGCTGCTCATTAGCCGCACACACTAGCAGCGAGCAACCTGCCGCTAACCTTAGCGACTGTAACACACGGGTGCTACAGTAAAAGGCAGACATTATTAAACCTCCAGTAACACAGAATCTCATCCCTCGGGTGTTGCCATCAGCGGCACAGTTATTGGCTCAATGCTGCGTTCACGGCCGGGCTGAGAATGAATGGCGAACAGGAAGGAGCCATCTAAACTAAGGTAGCCGCTGGAGTATCGACTATCTATCCACCACAGATGATGCACTGGGTCCACTGTTTTCTGTCACCTGTAATTGTTGATATTCCTCGTCGATTTCCTCCCACTCCGTCTGAAACTTGGGCTTGGACATCGTGGTGCACAGTGGCTGATGTGGCGGAGAGGACGGCTTCGCTATGTTTCGAGTCTGGCTCTCTCCTCACCGACCGTCCACTCACGCTTTTTTAACTCTGCTGCACGGAGCATGCGCACATCGTACGACAGCCAGCCGTCCGTCCGGGCAGCCACTGTGGAAACATGGTTGAAAGTGACGACACAAGTAAATAAATAAAAACAATTATAGCAAATAAATTTTAAAAAATAAAAAATAAAAAACGACGTAGGCATCACCTGGATCCTCCCAGACACATTTAACTACGAATTAAAATTAACTTTTAATTTTTTTAAAGTTTACATTGCACCGACTACAGTACAGAGTTCTGTTGCTAGGATACAGCGAATGCTCGGCTTTCTCTCGGTTGTGGACGCTCGTAATGTTTCCTTCATTCATTGGGTAGCTACATGGCGTGAGTTTACAAGCGGGTTGAGTTTAAGTAAGTCATCCGCTTGGACAAATCGATAAGGTACAAGTACTTTGCTCTAAAGGAGTGTTTGACATTCTACTTTGGCCGTAACCATTGCTTGTGACGTTAGTTAACTTGGCTAATTTAAACAAATGTAACTTCATCCTGAATGTGGGTTAATGTGCATTAGTGTGTAACCTATTGTTTTGTTTTTGCATACATGGAGAATAATGTCTGAAACATTTTGGATTTAGTACAACCTTTGTATCATATGCTCACACATTCCTGTACACATTTAAACTCCTGCATTGAAAGATGGGAAATGTAGTTTTTCCTTCTTAAATGAAAGTATTTATATAGGGAAAACCTGCACAGCTTCATGGGTGTAACATGTTGTTTATGTTGTAGGGTTTTCATCAAGCTATCCCCAGCCATGCCCTGTATTAAAAAACCTCAAAAAACTCAGTCCACATTGTTGGATATTAAGTCACAGAAATGTGGACTGCGGAGTTCAGTTTTCTCTGTCACTGGAAATGAATACACCGGAGAGTGGCAGGACAACAAGAAGCATGGTGAGATTACTCTTTATGAGTTTCCACTAAACTGAAATGTTTTTTGATGTCTGGTTATGAAGCACAACACATTTCAGCTACACAATAAAGTATTGGCTTCTTTTTTTCCAAGGCAAGGGAACTCAGGTTTGGAAGAAATCTGGTGCCATTTATGATGGAGATTGGAAATTTGGAAAACGTGATGGACATGGTACCTACAGTGTGCTACTGCCTGGAACAAAGAAATATGCAAGAAAGTACTGCGGTGGATGGAAAAATGGAAAGAAGCATGTATGTATTTGATATACTGTTATATATCCACACTAGCACACACGTATGTATTTGATATATTGTGCATCCTTTTCTGTCTCTTTAGGGCTACGGGACGTGCTACAGCAGCTCAGCAGTTTATGAGGGGGAGTGGAGTGAGGACTATCGCAGCGGCTGGGGAAGGATGTACTACGACAATGGAGACTTTTATGAAGGAGAGTGGCTGAAGGATAAGAATCATGGACAGGGCATCATCATATTTGGTAAGAGAACTGTGCTTTACATCCATTTTTTAAAATGTGAAATAGATTATAGTTTAGTGGGGCAAGATGTGGAGTTTAAAAATCTGACTCTCCTACTTGTGTTTAAGCAAATGGAAACTGGTATGAAGGCGCCTGGCGAGAGGGCAAGAAGAACGGTGACGGGAAGTTCTACTATTGTGACAAAGGCCAGCTTTATGAAGGCGTTTGGGTGGACGGAATACCAAAATGTGGGACCCTGTCTGATTTTGGGAGGGATGAGGCGCCAGCACCGACAAAGTATCCAGTTCCACAGGTACAGTTTGACTTTTACAGCCACAAATCTGATCTGACTCAGATAATAATGGACAACAAAGACAATCCGATGTATTGTTGTGGATTAAAATATGAACATCTCTTTTTCTTTAAGCTACAACTGGTGGATATGCAGCTGGTTTTAAGGGAAGCCCGGTCCGCCTACCTTGATCAGTGCTGAAGAACCACAACAAGAGGATCAACAGCCAGTTTCCACTCCACCACACACTCACAAAGAAAATAAATGGCATGATGGCATTCAGCATGTTCAGTTATGTTGATGTTTACACCCAAATAATGTGTCCTTGTCTGTGAAACAAACCAAAATCATCTATTAATATTTGAAATCAGCTGAAAACAATAGTGACATAATTTTAACATGTTAATCCAATGTAACTGTTCTGACAATAGAAGGCTTCTAACTCTCATTATAACATAACAGAATGGTTCAATTACATACATTAAGTGAAACAACTAATGATTACTTAATTCATTACATTAGACCTACTTGATACAACGTAAACACACAATCAAAGGTTATTAAAGCTGGTCATGTGATAAATTCAACACTAGTATATATAGAATATACAAATTACACGTCCGCTTATTTGTTCTTACAGAGATTGATAATCCAAAAATGAGCTTTTACTGTATTTTCTGTGTGCTACATTCTGACTGTAAACAAGCCACACTAAATTATTCAGTGAGGAAACTCTAATGCTGTGTGTTGTTCATAATTTAACTGTCTCTAATCATTCAGAAAAATACTAGACCATGCAACCTGAAAAGATCTCATCACCAGCCCACCAAGATAGCACCTATCAACATCCCACTACCTTTTCACTTCTGAATCTATCTACTAACACATGTGGACTCCTTCCACCTCAAATACAGACCGATGACTCAGACTGAGGGGTTTTATTAATTAAGAATAAACCCCCAGTTAAATTAAATTTGAATAAACATTAGTTTGATTGAAAAGCACTCTGTAAAGAGTGAATGATGAAAGCAACATGCTAATTCAGGATATCAGACAAGTGGAGTGCTCAGGCTTTACAAAATGAAGCACAGCGGGAGCACTAGTAACTCATATTAACAGGTACTCCACAGAGGTCAATGTGTGATTATGCAGGACGTGTAATGAGTCAGAATTCTTTAAAAAGCTTAAGTGTCAAAGAGGAGAATAGAAAATCAACCATCAGGCATGACTGGCGGGCTCAGGTGGTTATCCAACATCAGGGTGCTGAACGGTGAAAACAGATGTATCAAGTTGGCTCATGAACCTAAAGTTAAAGTGTGACTTTAACATGTGTCAGTGATTGCAAGTCACGGAAAACATTATAGATATTATTTCTGATATTCTGAAAGTTCAAATACCACTTGGTAAAAACGTGTTTATTTTAACACCACATACTGTGCTACAGATAACACTGTAGTTTGGCAGCTGTTGAGTCAGTCTACACAAACAGCAGGGATTACAACTGCAAATGGTGAACAGGACAAGAAAACATGTGAAGAAGGAGGGTTAAATACTTGTGGTTTAAAAAAACACAACAAAGTAATATATAAACAGTGTTCACTGACTACCGGATGACTAAATGCAGCAGGCAACAGACAGACTTCCAAGTTATTGTTCAGATGTCGTTGCCACAATGTAAGAGATAAATCAAGCAACTATCACAGTTAAGACTTTCCAATTTCAAGTTACATGCACTATGGCAGATTATTGTGACTTCACAGTCGATCACATGTTTTCTAAAAAATACAAACTTTATCACAAAAGTAAATTTCAAACAACAAAAAGAGGTGAGACATCTTCATTCCTGTTAAATAAAAAATAAAAATTAGAAGCCACCAAGGTGGCATCTGGCTTAGAGAAATCCCAAGGGGGTCAGAGTTCCACCATAGATGTGTATCCACCACTTGTCTATGGGAAATGTGAGCTCGGAGACTGCAAGATGGACGATTCCCCTCTGTTGTCCAGCTCGTTCTGTAGCCTGGTGAGATTAGACAGCTCCTCCAGCTCCTGAAACTGTCTGTCAGTCTTGTGGCTGACCAAGGAGCGGTAGAAATGCACAGCGAAGACTATGAAGACTAAACCAAAGGGGACCATAATAGAGGTGGAGGTAATAGCAGCTGCCACACCAGATGAAATTGTATTATTGCTCGACTTGTCGGGCTTAATAGGAAGAAATTTAACCCAGCAGAGTAGAACCACCTCGGCCAGGAAGAGCAAAGTACCGATAACTGTAGAGAAGGCCCACGCCAGTTCAATGTGTGGGTGCATTCGCTCGTGTGGAGACTCCTTCACTGAGTTGAGGTTGTGGACGTTGCTGACAGCCTCTATGTTGGGCAAAATGCAGGTGCTGACCATGAGAGCGAACAGGTGAACGGCCACAAGCACGGTGGTGCAGGCACTGAAGGCAATAAGCAGAGCAGGTGGGTAGGGATAGCTGTTGTCCAGTTGCACTTCCACCATAGCCACCTGGAGGGAACGGAGAGAACAGAAAACCAACTTCACACACATGCCACAACTATGATACATCACTGATTAACCTACAGGAGAGTTACAGGGGGTTTGAACACAGTGTTACCATAGCAAATCCCGAAAGTAGCGCTGATGTCCGGCTAGAAGCCTTCAGCTTGGCTCGACTCAGGTACAGCTTTCTCCAGGACAGGGCTTGCAGTGAATGCTCGTTCAGACTCATGTTATCTGCGGACTGGGCGAGCAGCTGCCGGCGTAGTTACCTTGTTACACTTGCGGAACACGACAGAAACAAGCGTTCAACATGCCAACAGCGTACACGGAGAAAACATTTAACCTCGCCAGCTGACCGAACTGCGGAAGCTATTTTCTTTCCAGCGTGTTGTGCTGCCTGCACCTTACATTACCCAGAAGTCCGTGCGCCATGAAGGGAACATCCGCTGACTGTCGGTTGCATTTGCTAACAGAGGAGTTCAGCGATCAGCCCTCAGTAATACTGATGTAACACAACACGACCAGTGTTAGTGATTGACACTAATGCAGCTTTTATTGTCAACTTCAACGGTTCAACGCCCTGTTCACCGACGCACGTGACGCACGTCACGTCCACCGCACGTTACAGAAACATAATAATTACTATCAGAATGAATGAAAGTGGATTAAGAGCTGGTTTTATATGTATGACGTTATGTATATATACGGACAGGCTGTTTTATGGCTTGTTTTTTCCTCCAACGTGGCAGGCGGAGCTGTTAGATAATGACAGTTTTAACGTAATGTGTGTTTTTTTTTCTCTCTTTCGTCCACAAACGAGCAGAGCGCGCGCTCCGACGGGCTCCAGAGTCCGTTGAGATCAGTTAACTACCGTTAACATGCTGTGACGTCGCCCAACAATGTTTTGGTTCCTGGCGATGACGTAACAGACAAAAACATGGTTCCCTTGTTTTGAACCTGAAACGCGTGCTAAGTGTTTCTTTAACTTCACTACGCACGAAGATGCTTCCCCGAAACTGAATGACTGGAGAACAATCATAAGAGACGATGGCTCAGGCCGTGGAAACGTGTGCCGCTGAATCCGGACGCAGGCTGGTGTGTACCATCTGCCGTGTTAACGTTAGCTTATGAAGCGAGATTGGCAGCGAGCTAATTAGTTAGCTAAGCTAACGCTTGCAGCAGTAAACGTCGGGATATTCGTCAAGTCCCTTAAGAGGTTCAAGTTGGAGGCCACAGGGGGGGAACGATAGGTCTCGCATTGTAGATTTTTTTTACAACTTCTCTTATATTTGTAGTAGTTAACCGAGAGTACGTCAGTTAAAACAAGATAAACCAACATGTTAGATCAGTGAACCCCCCCCCTCCTGCAAACATTTCACATTTATCGTTACGGATTAACGTACCAACAGCTGCACCCCCCTCCCCTCCCAGGACAAGTGTCGTTTAATGCTTATCGTACTTGCCGTCACGTTTAATTTAAAAATAGTATGCAACTATAGTAACGTTGTCATCTGAAAAGGAGAAACTGAACCTCTTTACTCCAGTTTTCAAAGTTGGGGATGAAATAAACGTTCAGTCATTGCACATCAGTCACACTGGCTGTTAATGGAGAGAGAGAGAGGGGGAGAGAGGGGACGGGGGGGTCTGTTGTGACAGAGAAAGAGTTTGCTTTTTCCACGCATGTTGCAGTGTTTTTGTCACCATGTAAATGATCTGGTTTTCAATGGCAGCGCTCCATCTGCCGGAGGATGTACGATGAAAACGAGGATTTGTCTGATGTGGAAGAAATTGCAAACATTAGAGGCTTCAGTGTGGAGGAGAAGCTTGTCAGTGACAGTTACAGCTCAAAGTTTGTGCACTCGATGGAGGGCAAAGGTAAAGTAACACATAGTACCCAGTGTGTCCTTTTTTTGTAAGCTCTCATTGCTGTTTTGTTATTAAATATTTGAAATGGAAAGATGCATGTCTGTAGCACAATAAATGTGTTTTTCCCTTAAATGTTTTTGTCCATAACTGTCACTGTCTTGCAGACTTCTCTTATGAATATGTGCAAAGGGAGGCTCTCAGGGTGCCACTCATTTTTAAAGAGAAAGATGGATTGGGGATCAGGTGAGAGGCAGTTTCTGTGACTTTAAAGATAGTTGTTAAGAAATACTCTCTGACTGTGCTCATGGTGTTGTTGTATATTTATGCATTTACCCATTTGGCAGTGCATATTAAGTGATATCGATCCCTCTCTTAAATTCACGCAGAATGCCTGATCCAGAATTTACTATTAGTGAAATTAAAGGCTTAGTTGGTAAGTACAATGCCACACACACACACACACACCCACACACACAAATATATGCATGTATGTTTATTAATGTCATAATTAGAGTGATTAAACAAAATAAAAACTATTTGTATGCATAGCTGCTAATTCGGAGAATAAGAACGTCTGCCAGATAACAAATATCTGCTATTAAAAAAAAGTTATGAGAGGCCAGGGTTAATCACACAAAAATGATCTGAGGTGTCCTGAAAGTATCAGTTATCAGTACATATTGCCATTTTTACTTCCCTAGCACAGTTTGTGGAAGGTAAATGTTAGAAAGAAACATGACTATCTCAAGTGTGATGGATTGTTTAGTGCGGTTTGGATAGTGAGTTCAGAAACGAGTACTGTCAGTTTAAAGGCCCAGCTTTGTCAGAAATTGTAAACAACCACTCCTTACTTAAGTTAAGTTTATGAGTTAAAAAAAAACAAACTGCTGTTTTTCTTTTGTGTAAAATATTGAACTTAGAAGAAGAAATAAGCACCAAAGCTATTGTTGTGTTGTCGTAAAATAATCAGACAGATGGACATAATTTACAAAGACATAAAAAAGTAACAGTCACAGTTTGTTTAAATTACATAAATAATATATAATATTGTTACAAGTGGTATTATTGTTTTTGGTTCATCTGTCTGTCTATTTGTCTTATAACATTTTTTATATGTGTGATAGACGATTATAGTGTGTGTGTCCATACAGTGGTGTTTTCTATGCACTCCCTTTAAATCCATCTATCATCTTTTTATTTTTTATTGTCATATAAAAACAAATATCAGATCATTTTCCAGTTGCAATTTCCTAATTGTTAAAACTGCCACT